TACAGACTACATTTATCATCTGATTGTTGAAATTGATATATGTTGTTTGCATTAGTGAGATAAAGAATCCTATTTAATTTCAATAACTTCCGTTAATTTCTTCTGGAGTTATGGCCCTTGTTTCACTTTGTTGCACCTTGTGAACGCTCTAATGACAAAAGTTTTCAACCGATCTGTATGAAATTTATATGCATCATTTAAATTAGTAAAACAAAGAAGCCTTGTTAAATTTCAGCAATTTTCGTTAATTACATCTAGAGTTATGGCCCTTGTTTTACTTTGTTGAATCTTGTGAAGGCTCTAATGACAAAAGTTATTATCCGATCTGTATGAAATTTATATACAGTGGACTCTGTCAAATCCGACATCGTACGGGATCGTTACAATATGTCGGATTACACAGAGTGCCGGAATACCCAGTTTTCTCAAAACCGGAAATATTGTAACTTCGAAAACCCGGAAATATTATTATAATGTAGCTTCGAATCACCAGAATGTAATTCCCATTAACAATGCTAAACCTTTCTGTACATTCAAAATTTTATTACATTATTTTTTATTTCATTGAACATGCATAGACATTTTGAATAGGTCAAGTCTGTTGTTAATTTATCTTCTTCGCTGTCTTCAGTTGATCGCACTCTTGTCTTTGCTATCATGTGTTCATTGATAATGGGCGTACTCGATTGAACGTTCCGGTATTGAATTCTCGCAATCCCAAAATTAGTGACAATCGAGTGAAAATGGGTACTTCGGTCTACAACGCATGCGTCGACTGGATATATAAATATCTTATCCAACCATGCAGCCGAAACCTGTTCGTCGTGTTTAATTACGTCACAATTCTACTCACACCACCTCCGTTGTCGGGACTGACAGAACTGTGACAGGACTGAATTCCGCGTCACTCGATTGCAATTCTGTCAATTCGGCTCCGGACCGTGAATCAAGCATCCCCAGGTCATTGTCACACGGTTCGAAGAGATCCGTAGGGTGACCAAACTTATAGGTTATTCAGGTTCAATCGGCATGCGCAACGAATGTTTCCAACAGGTGCTAGGAATATTTTTAAGACTGTGAATTCGGGGGAAAATTCGTGGATATTCTTGAGTATTGTCACAACTGTCGTACAAGAGATTAAAATTATCAAAGTTATCAACAAAGGCCTACGGTAGCGAGTTTTAATCTCACACATAATTGACTGGTGATTGCTTGTTAATCTTTTGTGGCTTCACGCCAATCGAGTTTTTATCTCACCGATAATTGATTGGTGAGTGTTTGCTTCACACCTACTGATTGAAGGCCAGATTATATGGTGTCGATTCAATGGAAATCATATGATGGGACGGCTGATTGATGTCGTAATCCGGAATATTCAGAGGTCGAATTACCCAGAGATTTTTTAGCTGAAGTAATAAGGAAATAAATCGGGACATGATAATGGTGTCGGATTTCACAGAGTGCCGGAGTGATCAGAGGTCGGATGTGACAGAGTGCACTGTACATCATTTAAATTAGTAAAACAAAGAAGCTTATTGAATTTCAGTAATTTCCGTTAATTACATGTAGAGTTATGGCCCTTGTTTCACTTTGTTGAATTTTGTGAACGCTCTAATGACAAGTTATCATCCGATCTGTTTGAAATTGATATGCATCATTTAAATTAGTGCAACGAAGATGCCTATTGAATTTCACTAATTTCAGCATTTTCTGTTAATTACGCTGTGAGTTATGGCCCTTGTTTCACTCTGTTGTACCTTGTGAATGCTCTAACGACAAAAGTTATTATCCGATCTGTATGAAATTTATATACATCATTTAAATTAGTAAAACAAAGAAGCTTATTGAATTTCACCAATTTCCGTTAATTACATCTAGAGTTGTGGCCCTTGTTTCACTTTGTTGAATCTTGTGAACGCTCTAATGACAACAGTTATCACCCAATCTGTATGAAATTCATATGCATCATTTAAATTAGTGAAATGAAGAAGCCTATTGAATGTCAGCAATTTCCGACAATTACTTCTAGAGTTATGGCCCTTGTTTTACTTTGTTGAACCTTGTGAATGTTCGAACGACAAAAGTTATCATCCTATCTGTATAAAATTTATATGCATTATTTGAATTAGTAAAACGAAAAAGTCTGTCAAATTTCAACAATTTCTGTAGATTACTTCCAGAGTTACGGCCTAGTTTTAGTTTTTAGAACCTTGTGAATTTGAATTAGTAAAACAAAGAAGCTTATTGAATTTCACAAATTTCCGTTAATTACATCTAGAGTTGTGGCCCTTGTTTCACTTTGTTGAATCTTGTGAAAGCTCTAATGACAACAGTTATCACCCAATCTGTATGAAATTCATATGCATCATTTAGATTAGTTAAATGAAGAAGCCTATTGAATGTCAGCAATTTCCGACAATTACTTCTAGAGTTATGGCCCTTGTTTTACTCTGAACCTTGTGAATGTTCGAACGACAAAAGTTATCATCCTATCTGTATAAAATTTATACGCATTATTTGAATTTGTAAAACGAAAAAGTCTGTCGAATTTCAACAATTTCTGTAGATTACTTCCAGAGTTACGGCCTTGTTTTAGTTTTTAGAACCTTGTGAATTTGAATTAGTAAAACAAAAAAGCTTATTGAATTTCACCAATTTCCGTTAATTACATCTGGAGTTGTGGCCCTTGTTTCACTTTGTTGAATCTTGTAAACGCTCTAATGACAACAGTTATCACCCAATCTGTATGAAATTCATATGCATCATTTAAATTAGTGAAATGAAGAAGCCTATTGAATGTCAGCAATTTCCGACAATTACTTCTAGAGTTATGGCCCTTGTTTTACTTTGTTGAACCTTGTGAATGTTCGAACGACAAAAGTTATCATCCTATCTGTATAAAATTTATATGCATTATTTGAATTAGTAAAACGAAAAAGAGTTACAACCTTGTTTTAGTTTTTAGAACCTTGTGAACCCTCAAGCGACGAAAATTATAATGTCATCTGTATGAAATTGTCTATTAAATGCCCCTTATTACCTACAAAAGAATAAATATACGACAACTCTTGTCGACCGCTCGGACGATTTAGCTGCTGTGGGCGTATGTTTTGTTGCCTGGCAACCTATCTTTCTAAATCATAATCAACAAACAAATATCTTCTATAGATTGACCAGTTCTCATTATGTCTTTATTTTGAAATTTAAATATACTCTTCAAAATAAGTAGGGGATATTGAAATGCAAATACCTACCACTGAGAAGTAGTAATAGTGTTATTTGTACGTTTAGGGTATAGATATTGACCGATTTTGGTAAATTTGTATGAATATCGGTAAAATTCTAATTATCGCAACAAATCGAATACGAAGAGGCTAAAATCTGTAGATACGGTGTGTTAATTAACAGGGGTGAGAAATTGACTGAAAGGTGAATTAATTATCGCTAGGGGTGAAAATCTCTGCGACAGTGTGTTTTCTGTACTAGGTGCGTTTATTAACAAACAGGTTAAAAACGACTGACACGGTGTGTATTCTTTGTTTGGTGAGTTTTCTCGATAGCGTTTTATAACTGCACCAAAAGTATCTTATCAAGGACTAGCCGGCTTAATCTGATGCATAGGTGTCAAATCTAAATTGACCGCGCGATTTCTTTTTTGACCGCGTGTTTTACGCAGATCGGTCTTTGTTAAGGGTAGGTCTTTATACGTGGATTCATACGTGCTGTAGTTACATATGTGCCTTCTTTAATCTATGCGTATTTCATTTTTTGATGAATACTATGTGTTTTATACTGTGTACCATTGTCTGGCTGCAGTTATTTATATTTGTCTTTTTTTGGGTTTCATTTGTTAACATTATTGTGGTACCACTGAACTATAACTATAAATGCATGTGTCTTAAAATCGGTCGCACGCAATATCGTTATTTACCGATATCCTGCCAAACCTCCATTTGATTATCCGATATATTCTAATCTCTATTGATATCAGATGCCCTAATCTGTTTTGAAAGCACAATTATAAACAAAAAATCTCGCAATTAATGATAACCTGTAAGTTTTGTCATCATTATATTTTATAAATGTATTTCCAGGGAATCAGAATTCTATCACTATATAACAATAAATAAATCACATACCAATTAACACTAATCATGTCTAATAATACGGACTCGCATCCGCTTCCAACACGTGTAAGAAGCTTGTCTTTGCATGCACAATACCGACCTATGGAAATATGGGTTTTATAAGAACAGCTAAATTTAAACACATAAACTTAGGTTAAATTTATCAATGCAAGACTTGTCCTACCGTTTTAAAATATCTGTGGCAACTACATCCAGAATATTTTAACTAATGTATGTGCGGATGAAACCTCTTGTACACTGGCCAGATAGGGAAGAACTTAGAAAAACAATGCTAATGAGTTTTCGAACTAACTTTGGAACCAGAGTGGCAGTAATAGTAGACTGTTTTGAAATCTTTATAGATCGTCCTTCTAACTTAATGGCACGCGCACAAACCTGGTCATCTTACAAACACCACAATACAGCAAAATATCTTATTGGGATTACTCCACAGGGTGTAATATCATTTATATCAAGTGGATATGGTGGACGTGTCAGTGACAAGTTAATTACGGAAGACTCAGGATTCCTTAACAAATTGTTACCAGGTGATCTTGTTCTTGCGGATAGAGGTTTTGATATCAGCGAGAGTGTTGGTGTAAGGTGTGCCGAAGTATACATTCCAGCATTTACTAAAGGAAAAAAACAGTTGTCAGCTAAAGACATTGAAAGAACTCAAAAAATTGCCAATGTTCGTATTCATGTAGAACGCGTTATAGGATCTGTCAGACAGAAATATACTGTTTTACAGGGAACTTTACCAATTGATTATTTAAATGTTAAAGATGGAGAAATTGAAGAGAGTACACTAGACAAAATCATCAGTATTTATTGCGGTCTTACCAACTTGTGTGACTCTGTTGTAAATTTGAATTAGACATCAGCCTTTCTGTATAATTTATCAACAATGGCAGTTATAAAATTTACTGAACTAAAGTAAAATGGCAAAGATCTTTGATTATTTATTTACTCTTTCTAAATATTTCCTCAAGCACTCAATGTTTATTTAAATGGAATAAAACAAATCAGTTCTTAATTTATTTTAATTCAGAATACTTACATCATATTATGTCATGTAGATTTTGTACAATTATCAAACTAATAATACCATTTCAAGTAAATATTTCCTCATGCACTCAATGTTTATTAAATGTAATAAAAAAAACAGTTCTTAACTTATTTTAATTCAGAATACACATCATATCATGTCATACACTCATATAGTCTATTTTGTACAATTATCTAATTGTTATCAATACATTACAGTCTTTCATCTTCTTAATCCTTTGTAATTGTTTATCCATATTATTACTTCTCTCATTAATTCTTAATTAATGATTAATCTGTTATATGGTTTCCAATTGTTAACTATATATTATTGCACAACATTTTTGTTATATATCATTATTTGCTTGATAACGATATCTGTATGTGTATCGAAACGTAGCATGTTAATAAATTCAGAAGTAGTATATCCATATAAGTGTTTTTAATAAATTATCAAACTAATATTATAATACTATTTCACGTACATGTAGGGATATTTAGCAGTGGGAGGAAACCGGAGAAACCTTCAAGGTTAGGCAGGCGACCCTAGTCCTACTTGTCACATACAAGATTGGGATCAAATCCATACTATGACTCAATGGCAGACCTTATCATCTAAAGTGCACAGGCTAGACCATTCGCCTATAACCCCCTCCAGATCATAAAAGTACTGGTACTTTAATTTTTTGAACAATTGGAGCAATACCAGTCCCGCCTAGGAGAACGCTTCAACTAAAGTGAAACAAACCAATTTTACAATTTTCGTTGCCACACTGAACCATACGACCACTTTCTGGTCCTTTACATATACAAAACACATTTGTGCAGTCTTCAATTTGGTTGTCAGTTAGATTACTGTCAGTGTCCCAACTACATGTAGGCCTATTGGCGTCAATTTGCTGTAAAGGTATGTGTGTCCGTGTGTAGTATTTTCCAACTAGTTCAGGCAGGAGTCCATATGCTTAAAGAACGTGATTGATTTTGAAGTGATTTCTTGAACTACCTTCGATCAACTTCAATCCTTTCAATGAGCAAACCCATTAATGTCCAAACAACAAAATCAACATATTCTTTCTCACTAACTAATAATTGAGTTTGTACTTGGTAATAGTATTTATGTTCATGATTTAATTGCATTTGTCCATCAACAATTTTCAAGCAAGTTTTTTCAACAGTTCATTGATGTCTTCAGTGCGTATGCAAAAAGGGCATTTTCCTTCCAAACATCCTTCACCGCAACAGTCACAAACAATAATTCCATCAGGAGAAGCACCTAAATAAGGAAAGCTAGCATTAAGGTACAATCCACTTTCTTTACACGAAAGCTGACATGAATTTCAGTCATTTTCTGTTTGTACTGTTCGATACCACATTTTTCGTGCTCACATCCCCAACGCGTTGCAGCATTTGAAAAGTTTTTCATTTGGGTAACATATAGACTTGATCAGTGATTGTGATGGTTTTGTCAAATTTGTCCTGCATACATCCTTCATTCTGGACGCTGTAATTCTCCCTGCTCTAAATCTAAACCAAAGTTTTGATTTATACTGTAATTTTGTTGCATCAAACACATTATGTGCCTCTATTTCACTTACAGATATTTTAATATTTTCACACTCTACTTTTAATTCCTCAAAATTCAAGGTAAGCGTATTGGTGTCGTACAAGTCTGTTATACACTTGGGAATGACTTTGTTAAAGGTGTTGGTATGTAGTTGTCAGAGTATGGATGCACAAGCGATAAAATAGCTGGTTTACTTCCGCACAAAGCAAGATCACTGAAAAATGTCGTAAGTTCATCTGATGTCGGTTTACTCACACTTGGAGTTTTTCTCGTGCTTGTCTCATTTAAGTCGTTGTTGCCGGTATGTATTTTCTTATCCAACAAGGACTTCTTACTTTTTGCTGATGTAAAATCAATGTCTGACAACTTGGAGTATGGGATATGCTTCACTCCTGCAGGTAACATCCAATAAGCCTTTTCTTGTGTGACAGTTTTTGAATCACGGATTCTGACAGTGGCATCAATCCAAAACAATGTTGCTGCTATATGTGTGCAGGCCTCTCCTAAACCAGCCATACAGTCACAGTGTGCTGAAACAATTTTTCCATTTTTTTCAGCTATTATCCAGGGTTTGAGTGGACTTGCATTCATTCTCTGAGAATGCATCACCTGCAAAGAGAAATTTAAAAAATAATTATAATATATGGCAGTAAAAACGAAATGTATCCGATGTACATTTCTTGTTTTAGGTCAGTTTGAAAAGTGTGTAACACTGTATTTAATCTTTGTGTACATATCTTTTACTAAACCTATGGAGTGAAGCGTAACTTCATCTGAAGCCTGATTTTGCAATAGGATGAAATGGAGTGAAGCGTAACTTCATCTGAAGCCTGATTTTGCAATAGGATGAAATGGAATTTGGGGGGGGGGGGGGTATTATTAACGTTCTAATTTTGTGGGTAAGACGCTGGCTCGCTAGCCTGAAGGTCGGGTGTTCGATCCCTGCATTGTCCGAGAAAGTTCATCCAGATTTTCCGGCGTGGTTCCCCCTTGTCAGTGATGCAGGACGGAGGGCCTGGCAAGGACAGCTGTCTAGTCGTTCGGATGGAACGAAAAACCGAGGTCCCGTGTACACATTGGAGTGCATGTAAAAGATCCCTTGACAGTTGCCGCTGTCCGGGCAAAATTTCCCTCATAGCACATTGTATGGCGTATGCTTGTCTTCATTAGCCCAGGTTAGGAGCAGAACAGTAGGACATTAAACCCCATTTCATTTCTGAACTAACCAGGCAAATGAAGACGGGGGGGGGGGGGGACAACGATGGAAACTCGCGGAGGACTGACTCAGCCAATACATACATGTATGGTGTTATTGAAGTTATTCACTGAGGACTGAGCCACAAGTCCATTATTTCCGCCGGATAGTGATTTTAGGTAGAGTCTACCTACAGTCACAGACCATTTGTCCATACACTACGTCCATTGTATAAACTAAATAATAAATAATAATTAGCCTATTTGAAATACCTTACCTTTGCACTAATAATTTTCAGGTTGTTTATTTCTGTTGATACAACCTCTCTAACCCATCCACACACCAGCTGATTGTATGCATCAAGGCCTTTATACGATTTAAGGTCATCTAATGTATAACTACTTGGTGTGTATACGAGGTAGTTAACTATGTCAGGGTATGATATGTTAGGAAATGAATCGTGATCACTGCTCCATTTATCTTTGTGTATGCTATACGGATCAGTTTTATCTATCGTCGATATTTTGGATAAGTATCTGTGTTTTGAAATAGTGTCTAGCGTGTCATAATACGACAACTTACACTGTGAAATGTCAAAACATACAGGCCTAGCTTTTGCCATTGTTCAATGTTGTTGTTTACCAAGATGGCGGCAAGTGGGCGTAACCAACACTCCCGTGACGTCAACGAGAACTCTCTATTGTGGTCTATTCAGTGTTGGTCTTATTGCAATGACATAAATGTATGTTTCACTTTTCTATCATCTCATTTAAATAAAGCTTGATATTTTATTAACATAGGAAATTTCGGTTGGTATCTCAAATGAAAACAACAGACCAAGCCATTATATTATAATCAGAGAAATGTTCAAACAAACAAGTAAAATAGACAAGACAAAAAAACAAGCAATACCATTATTTATTATTACATTATTGATATGCATATGCCTTCATAATTAAACGTTTTAATTAAATTGTAATGTATAAATTATCTGCTTTATTTTTATACGCCCACATTTTCATGTGGACGTATATTGTCGTCGCCCCTGTCCATCCGGACGTCCGTGAACAGTCTACAGGTCACAATTTTTATCCGATTTCAATGAAACTTGAAATATAGGTTTATAACCCTAAGATCTCAGTTCCTTACGATATTGGCATGTATTGGACTGTAACTTCATGGATTATGGCCCCTGATTGTACGAAAAATCACGTTTTTAGCTTGTGGACCCTATAGAGGTCACAATTTTTATCCGATTTAGTTTAAACTTGAAATGTATGATTATAACCCAAAGATCTCGGTTCCTTTCGATATTCGCGCATATCGGAACGTAACTTCCTGAATTATGGCATCTGATTGTACGAAAAATCACGTTTTTAGCTTGTGGACCCTATAGAGGTCATAATTTTTATCCGATTTAAAAAAACGTATTATTATAACACCGTTACACCTTAAGGACGGTTGAGTTCGAATTTTGTGAGAATCGGCCCAAAACTGACAGACAAAATGGCCACCGTTCGTTTTCAAATAGCATAAAAATATGGTATATCAAGGTTGTGAACCCTTTAGAGGTCACAATTTTTATCTGATTTTTTTGAAACTTGAAATGTAAGTTTATAACCCAAAGATCGTGGTTCCTTTTGATATTCACGCATATCGGAACGTAACTTCCTGAATTATGGCCCCTGATTGTACAAAAAATTGCGATTTTAGCTTGTGGACCCAATAGAGGTCATAAATTTTATCCGATTGAGAAAAACTTATTGTTATATCACCGTTAAATCCTAAGGATGACTGAGTTCGAATTTCGTGAAAATCGGCCCAAAACTGACAGACAAAATGGCCGCCTTTCGTTCTCAAATAGCGTAAAAATATGGTATATCAAGGTTGTGGACCCTATACAGGTCACAATTTTTATCCGATTTTGATGAAACTTGAAATGTAAGTTTATAACCCAAAGATCTCGGTGTCTTTCGATATTTACGCATATCGGACAGTAACTTCCTGAATTATGGCCCCTGATTGTACGAATAATCACTTTCTTTTTAGCTTGTTCTCTATCCATCTCTTGAAAATGTGGGCG